CCCGTCCCCGTCCCCGTGTCCCTGTCCCCACCTCAGGGTCTCCTTCACCACGGCCCTCAGCAGAGGCACCTTGCCCAGCGCGGTGGCCGAGGGGCTGCAGCCGGTGCCCAACGCCGCCGCCAGCTCCCGGTGCAGTGCCGCCTGCACCCCGGGGTGCCGCGCCAGCTCGTACAGGCTCCACGACAGGGTGCTGGAGATCTGCGGGGGGGTGGCGGTGGCATCAGCGGGACCCCGTGGAGATGGAGACGCCACCCCACGTCCCCTCCTCACCGTGTCCACCCCGGCCAGCAGCAGCTCAGTGACGTTGCCGTAGATGGTCTTCATGGGGACCTTCTCCCGCACCAGGTGGTCGGTGAGACACATCCGCTCTGCCGGTTCCCCGTGCTCGGCCGCCTCGGCCACGCGCCGGTCGATGTGACCCTTGGCTGGAGAGGACGAAGCCCCGGTGAGTGTCACCGTGGTGGAGGGAGGTCAGCTGTCCCGGTGTCCCCCTCGGTGTCCCCTCACCGAAGGCGAACATGTAGTCCCAGGCTTCGCAGAAGGTCTGCCAGGGTTTGGGGAAGAGGCGGTGGAGGGGTTTGGGCATGGCCATGGTGAGCAGCGTCATGACGAACATGGTGTTGATGGAGCGGATGAAGGTCTCCGTGTCCCGCGGCACCTCCTGCTCCAGGCAGCCCAGGCGGGAGGCGAAAAGGACGGAGGAGATGCCTGGCAGGGGGGGAAGGGGGTGAGCCAGGGGACATGGGGAGCCCTGGGGACGTGGGGGACCTTGGGGGACATGAGGAGCACTATGGGGAGCCCTTGGAGGCACTGGGGTCCTTGGGGATGTGGTGGGGACAGGGGGCACCTTGGAGACCACGGGGGACATCAGGAGCCCTGGGGAACATGGTGGGGATGGGGACAAGGGCCACCCTGGGGACATGGAGCACCACGGAGAACATGGGGAGCCCTTGGGGACACTGGAGTCCTTGGGGATGGGGAGGGGACAAGGGGCACCTTGGGGACATGGAGGACCTTGGGGAACATGAGGAGCAACATGGGGAGCCCTTGGAGACACTGGGGTCCTTGGGGACATGGTGGGGACAGGGGGCACCCTCAGGACAAGGGGCACCTTGGGGAGCACCATGAGGAGCCCTGGGGGACACAGGAGCCCCTGGGGACATGGTGGGGACAAGGGCCACCCTGGGGACATGGGGGACCTTGGGGAACATG